CCATATTTTTTCCTCTCCCCAGTATATCCCAGGGTATCCCTATTAAAGTATCCTTAAAGAACAATTTAATATTAACAAAAGAAGCAATTCAAAAGTCTGGTTTAAATGTTAGATCTGTTACTGCATTCTCTAAGAAAATATTTTAACCTTTCTATCTCAATTATTTATTCACAAAAAAAGGCAAAGGGATTTGTAGTATATTATTTACTTTTTTAAAAGAAAGTTTTGAGTTTTTTCAATACAAACTTATAATAGAAAATGAAAAGTATAGAAAGGAAAAAAAAAAAATCACCATTGAACCTACCACCCAGACATAATCTTTTTAACATTTTGATGCATTTCCTTTTTTGGCAAATTATTATAGCTTTTTAAATGAATGCTGGGCAACTTATGATTATCTGAGATTTATTAAGAGTGATTTATATGCCAAATGTTCCATAAGCTATTTTTATTGATTATTTAAATAACATTGCAGAAAACTGACATAATTATTTACATTTGTGTTGTCTCTTTAATCCTGATCAATTTCAGTTACTGTCATTTTGTATATCCTTTTCTATATATCTTTATATTTTATATTTATACATTTTAATGTCTTTTTTTTGATAGTTCAGTGAATTGATGTGCTGTAGTTTGCTTAACTTTTCCTAAAGGAAGCTTTAATATGAATATTAAACTATTGGAAGAGAGAAAAAATATGAAGGTTGTAAGTCTAATTTTCCAGACTATCGATTAGTCAACAAGACTTGCTATTTTAAATAAAGTTTTTTTTTTTAACAAACCAAAATTATTGCAAAAACATACAGTATGGGTATATAATATGTGGTTAATGTGGTGGTAAATACCAGTTCCCTGTGGTATCTTTTTAAGTAAATGATAATAACGAAGCTATGCTTGTAAGGATTAATGAGCAGTTTGCCTACTATATTAAACTCCATAATAATTATCCTTTTAATTTATCCATTAATTATCCTTTAAATGGCACATCAAGTGGTAAGCACTCAAGTGTTACAAAGCAAAGTTAAAAAAGTGATACATTCGTTAGTGCTTTCCAACATAATTGGAAAAGAAATAAGATTAAGCATAGCTGAATGATTTTGTTCCCAAAGAGTAAATTTTAAAAATTTAAAGTATGCAGCTGACTGTCCTCCTTGGCAAAAGAAAAAAAAAAAATCAATCTATTTTCCTTGCATAAACAGTATTCAATAGTATTTTTATCAGTTTGGTATATCAGAGAATATAAATACAAACACTTTTACATAAGGATAACACTTAGCACCTATCATCTGAGACATTTCCATATTGGGGTAAATCAGTGAACCATCTAATCCAGTATCTGGTCTTCGACAGTAACCAATGTCGAGTGCATTTAAATCAGTTATCAGGGCCGGCCTGTGGCTCACTCGGGAGAGTGCGGTGCTGATAACACCAAGGCCCCGGGTTCAGATCCCATATAGGGATGGCCGGTTCGCTCACTGGCTGAGCGTGGTGCTGACAACACCAAGTCAAGGGTTAAGATCCCCTTACCGGTCATCTTTAAAAAAATAAATAAATAAATCAGTCATCAGATTTCCATAAATATAGTTTATCAGGCAGTAGTAAACCATTGGGTAAGTTATTTGCCCAATGACTAAAAAACCTTTACAGTTTGATCATAGCATGTGTTTTTTTTTGCAAATACCAGATCTATTCATTACATTTTGGTAGAAAAAAATGTTTTCATGTTATTTGTTTCAGTCATATCCTTTAATAGTAAAAGCCACAGATGAAGAATATACACATGGCCAAAAGGTGCTTATTTTTATTACCCTGTAGATCTGCTTTCTAGATTCATGGATTATTTCCTTGTTCTTGGAATAATGGAATAGATGAATAAAAACTCCAATTGCTGAAACCCAGGCTCCATTCCCCTTTACTTTCTCTCTTCTGGGTCTTCTTTGTTCTTTCCTGTCTTTTAGATCTTTCCTCATATGAACGTCCCCTGTGGTGTCATTCTCTTACTTCCCCTTCCTCATTATCCACTCTCCTTCCTACCTCACGGCCTGTGATCATTTTCCTATTATGTCATTTTAAAAAATGAACTGAGCCTGTATCATTAAGAGTATGAAACACTAGCTAGTTGGCTCAGTTGGCTGCAGATGGTGCTAATGAGATCCAGGTCAGGGGTACATCCCCATATGGGACTGTTAGTTTATTCTTTGTTTGATGGCCTCAAACCGCACCCCTGGCTTTGACCAGCTCTCTCTCCTAGATGTATTCAAGTGGTCAAAAAGAAGTGGAGGTAGATATGTACAAATCCAATCACGCTATTGGAAAACCCACACAAAGTTTGCTTCCAGTGGATATTCAGTTCAACAAATGTTTAGTAAGGATCTCTTAGGTGCTGGGGGAGAATACAAATATAAATATGTTGCATTCCCTATCCTAGTAGATATGTACAAATCCAATCACGCTATTGGAAAACCCACACAAAGTTTGCTTCCAGTGGATCTTCAGTTCAACAAATGTTTAGTAAGGATCTCTTAGGTGCTGGGGGAGAATACAAATATAAATATGTTGCATTCCCTATCCTAAGACAGTTTTCTGTCTCCTGGCTGAAAGCCTGTAAATGACTAACTAAAAATGAAGCAGTCTGAAATTGTGGTACTATCAAGTGGTGTAGATACACAAAGTACACAGCAGTTAAATCCGATGGGGGCGTCTGGGAAGGTTTCATGGAAGAGATGGCAGTTGAACTCGTCTTTGTAAGAGGGGTACATGCTCTGGCAAATGCTCCAGGACAGATGCTGGACAGCCAGCCAGCCACCTTTCCAGCCTCCTAAAGTAGTCTGGTACCAGGGCTGCCTCAGGCCAGGGCCTAGTTCGATACCCACCCAAGAAGCCTTGAAAAACTCAAGGAGTCTGGATTCTGGAGAACCATCGTGCCAAGTTCACTCACTCCAGCACAAGCCTAGGAGATGATCTGTCAGTCATTAGGACCTTTCATGAACATCTTTTGTCTGCTAGACCTAAGCAGATTTTTGGGCCTGGATATTCTCTCTGTCTCCCCCCTCCCCCAATTCTGCTCCCTGCTTGGTCCTTATAACTTCCAAGTTTCTTTTTTCTGTTTATTTTGGTCTATTTCTCATATTAGGACATTTTATCAAATATCAGGTGATCCTTTTTTATTTTTGGTGTGTTTTTTCTTTTTTTGAACTTTGCTTTTTACGTGGAAGTATAGTACATATACAGAACAGTACACAAAACATATATACAGATCAATGAATTTATCACAAAGCAAACCCCCACTTCACCTAGCCAGATCTTGCTCATTCTCCAGGTCCCAGGTCACTTCCCCTGAAGCCAGGTGCTGCTCTGTTGGGTTGGGTCACTTTGTTGTGGCTGCACTCACCAGCACTCGTTCCTCTCCCCTTTCCTGGCACGTAGTACTTTTATAATCCCCATTCACTGCCTGGCACCCAGTACCCTTACAATCCCCATTCACTGCCCAGCACCCAGTACCCTTACTCGGTTCACTGTTTCTCCTACTGGACTGCACTCCCCATGGACTCAGGGGCTGTGCCTGCCTTGGCCACTGCTTGTCCCTCAGCCAAGCACAGAGCCTGGCACATAGTCAGTGATGAATAAATATTTGAATGAGTGGCTGAGGTAGAGAGAGAAGGAATGAGGGAAAAAATAATTGAGAGAAATTTGTTTTCTATTTTCAAGGAATTTAATGCCAGGAAAGACAAACTCAAGATATAGGTCATTATAATATATTATAGTATATTATAATAACGACTAAGGTAAGCTCAGGACATTGTGGCAACCTGCAGAATAACTTTCAGTCCTTTGCACTGGAGGTTTTTGGTTTGATTGGTTGGTTTTTGTTTTTGTTTTGTTTTGTTTGCCCAAGCTTAGACATGTGGGTAGGTGTGTGTTTCCAAGGTGTGGCTTGCTAAGGGAACATGTGCTCGTGCAGAAGCATAGGGGTGTGTGAAAGTGGCTGAGAGTGCTCAGGCTGGGCTATGGTCAGGACTGGGGAGGGGAATAGTGGCGTTGGGCCTGGAAAGGAAGGTAGGGCTGGGGGTCCCTATTCAGACTGTGCGGATAAAGTCCAAGACCTGTCCTGCTTTGATTAGGTCTGTGACCTCAGGATAGCTTGGGCCTGAGCCAGACCACCCCAGAGTTGCTACAGGTCCCATCCCCTAGGCCTGCTCTGCTTAACTGAACCTGCAGGGGTCTCTTGAAACTCTCCTGCAGTTAGTGTGGTGAAAGAGAAGAAACATGACTTTGGAGGGGAAAGGGTAGGTCCAGGTCAGAGTCCCTCAGTAATGTCTCTTAATAATTCTAAGACTTTGAACTTTTACCTTTGAGCATGTTTCCTTACCAGTCAAATGTGATGATGAGAGTTATGAATGCTGGCTGGATGGCTCAGCTGGTCAGAGCCCAGTGTTGTATATCAAGGTTAAAGGTTCAGATCTCCATACTGGCCAGCCACAAAAAAAGAGTTATAAGCATGAAATGTGAAAAGTGACTCTATACACATATTAGGAACCAGACCCAGTGTTTCTAAAATGCTGTAAGGGGTTAAAAGGCACTTAAAAACAAACAAACAAAAAGTATAAACAGTTATACTGATTTATTATCCTTGGTCTTTGTTTCCTGGTTGGTAAAGTACAGGGCCCAGTACTCGTTACTTAGTTCAGACCAGGTTCCTGTTATAATGGCAAATATTACCACCCGGCAGGGGTTGTGAATGAGGTCCCTGTCACAAAGCACATGGCCTTGTTCCTTAATTGCCAGGGTGGAATTAATTTGCTCTTCCTGTTTCTCTTGTGACAGGAAGTAGATGTCCTTGAATTTCAGTTGATTAATGGAGGCCTCTGAGCAGAGTGCTCCAGCCTTTCTTGCTTTTAATACTTATGCAATGCAAGGCCCTAATTTGATAATTTTGCTGTTTTTTAGATGGATCACCTACTGGTTGAAAATATTGAGCGGGAAACGTTTCATCTCTGCTCCCGCCTCATTAATGGGCCGTACCGGCGGACAGTGAGAGCCCTGGTCTTCACATTAAAGCACCGAGCTGAAATCCGGGCTCAGGTGAAGAACGGCTCGCTGACAGTCGGCACGTTTGTACAGACCCACAAAAAGTGACCTGAGGACGGTTCCAGTCCTGGGCTGGGCAGAGAGGAAAATGGGCCTCTCTCCCCTGGTCTTCACATTAAAGCACCGAGCTGAAATCCGGGCTCAGGTGAAGAACGGCTCGCTGCCAGTCGGCACGTTTGTACAGACCCACAAAAAGTGACCTGAGGACGGTTCCAGTCCTGGGCTGGGCAGAGAGGAAAATGGGCCTCTCTGTGCCATTCAAAGACTCTTTTGAGTTTGGCTGATAGCGGCTGGTGGCTGTGCTAAATTTTCCCATGGTGCCATTGCGTGGCAGACAGAGGATGCAGAGAGCCTTGGGAGACAGGCCTGCAGGAACGTGCTTCATTAGCTGTAATGTCTGGTGCTGCCTAACAGGATGCACTCGGGCTGTCACTAGGAAGTACCATACAGTTGCCATCACCCAACACCGCGAAAGGGTGACGGATTTCACTGTGAGTATGCCAAGGACACCTCTAAACTCCCCCCATGTCAGACAGATGAAGTTACTACTTTATTTAGCCACCCTGCAGGTAACTGAAACTCAATTACTGCTGCCGCTCACTTGGTTCCATCCCCCTGAGTTTAGATAGCTCCCGTGCCTCTCAGAACTCCCCTGTCTGTTTTCTTTGCTCCACCCCAGGGGTGAGCCTGCCAGAGCCTGCTGACTACCCCTTCTTTCCAGAGCTCACTTATCTGAACGTTTCAGCTCTCCCTGGAAGACCTTCTGCATTGGTCTCTGGAGCCCCCATGCTGAGGCTTCTAATGAGGAACTGGCCTGAAGCCTCCTCACACCTCAGGGTTTATTTGAATAAGTTGGTGCTCTTGGTTTAAGGCTCTGTCGAAGATACATAATGAAATTTTTCTTGAAGTTAATTACTGCAGTAGAAAGAAATACATGCATATATATTTTAAAATGAAATGCCTCTATATAGGCCTGCTTGAACAATTATGTAAATGATACTTGCTTTTTAAAGTAATAATAAACTGGGACTTTTTTCCTAAAACAAAAAGTGTGGTTTGTTCATTGAAAAGTGTTTCCAACTGAGAAAGTGCACAGTTGGTGAAATTAAAGAATGATGGGACAAGAATTTGAAGAAAGTAACAAGACCCAAGGAAGGTTTTTTTAGACTAGGGGAGGCTGGTGCATGTTTGTAATCTGAAGTAAAGCAGCCAATAGAAAAGGAGAGATTTAAAATTTTTTAAAAAGGGGGAGGCGAAATGGGTTGAAAAGCAACGATAAAAAGGAAGGGACTAACATAATTGTCTACCTTCTAAGTGTTGGGCACTTTTCCTAAGACAACACATTATCATTTACATGGGTTTTTTTTTTTTTTTTTTAAAAGATGACCGGTAAGGGGATCTTAACCCTTAACTTGGTGTTGTCAGCACCACGCTCAGCCCGTGAGCGAACCGGCCATCCCTATATGGTATCCGAACCCAGGGCCTTGGTGTTATCAGCACCGCACTCTCCCGAGTGAGCCACGGGCCGGCCCTACATGGGTTTTTTTTTTTCCTTTTTGTCTTTTTTCGTGTCCGGCAACGGACCGCAACCCTCAGTGTCGCGCCCGTACCGGACCGGGACCGGCAACGGGATCGCAACCCTCGGTGTTGCGCCCGCACCTCGCTCAGCCAGTGAGGGGGAACCGGTCCGTATGTGGGATCCAAACCCTCGGCGGTAGCGCCACCGCGCTCTCAAGCGGTGCACTGTAGCAGTGCGCCACCGGGCCAGCCCTACATGGGTTTTTTTTTTTTTTTTTAAAAGATGACCGGTAAGGGGATCTTAACCCTTAACT